TCCAAAAATTGATCATCCACGATTTCTTTTTTAAAAATTTCACGAGGAAAATCATTGATTCTGAATGAGCCTCCGCATCGATACCATAGCGGAGATAAGTAAGAATATACGATTGACTTCGTTTCAGACCATTCAACCGACGTCATCATACGCTCGAGCCGAACCAAATGCGGTATGATCCTGAATTAATTATTAAAATTACTGGTTGATTAATTTGATTCGCGAGTATAACTCTGGACGAAATTAATCTACCCATAAAAACAAAGAAAAACACTTGACGTAATCTTCTTACGGTCGTTAACAAAACATCATTATTACGTATGTGTATCTCATCGAAGCGGTACACGTCGCCGCACATCCGTAAATCGAAAATTGCATTTAATTTGACCTTACGTTTTGCGCGAACTAATGATGTTTTTGAGTCAGCTTGGTCGGTTGGTCATCAATTCCAGTGGTGTGGCGTGTTTTGCGATAGATCAATTGATTCGTCTTTTGAACTTGTGAGAAAGGATCGATAAACAGGATATTTGCAACGGACATCTTAATAATCGATTCTTTACCATACCTTCACATGGGGAAATATCGAAAATCGACCATTCGCGCCTCGCCACGGATAAGTTCCATCGCACGATCGTGAAAACTTGATTTCTTTAGAAACTAATCACTGAGATGAGCTCCTTATTTGGATAGTAAAGAAGAGACAATGCTGAATGCAGGCATTACAGTCTAAACCCAAAATCTATCAATCGTTAAATTCACTCATTGAAACAATTTTCGACCAGGGAAATTCAGAGTCAATTAGGGCTGGAAGGCATTTGAAGTCGGCATTTGAATAGATGATTGAATTCCATCAATTAAAATTAGGTCTGTTCAGTCACTTTCAGAATTGATGGATTTTAAGTTTCGATTGTAGAATGTTAAGGATGTAAAATGTGTAGATCCTTTGAATATTCAAAGAGCGATTTCCAAATTCCGTGGTATACTCGCAGTTGTTTCGAACTGAGGGTGACAGGAAGTTTTGCTTTGTTCATTGGAATCCTGACTTCTTAGAAAAAGTATCAAAATTGTGCACTCTTTCTCCTTATATTTCGGGCGAACTGGAGGAAGCAAGTACCGAACTTTAATAAATTAACGAAAATCACACTTGCTCTCAGCAGTAGTTCTAATCAGTATTGCGCAGCGCCTTGCGTTGCTAAATTTTCTCTTTCTTTTTCTGAGAGTTAATACAGCATATCAAGCGATTTTCACAGGATTTAAATAACTGAGGTCGAATCAATTTTTTAAACTTCACGGGAGAAAAATAGAGGAATTTAATTTTGTACCCCAGGCATTTTTACCGATAATGGAGGAAAAATGATCATACGAACACTTCATCCAAATTAGTATCAGGATTGTAAGTAAATGACCTTCCAGAATATTTTAAACTGATTTCACCTACATAATTTAACTTCTCGTTGAAAGTTTAATCATGAAAGTTAAGTTATGCAATTTTTTGTGCGCGCATTATTATCGGTACAAAATGAGGAAAACTGCAAAATAATGCTCAGATCCAGAGCTTTTCTGGCCATCAATTATCATAATTTTAAAGTGCTGTATGATAAATGAATTGGGCATCCGCAGTGGATAATTATTACCACTGATAAACAACCTTAACCATGTGTGATGTTTATCCTAAGTACCATTAAAACTCCTGCCACACCTTTATAGTAATTCAAGGATAGAAAGCTTCCCCGAAAACTTAAAATTTATCTTAAAAAAAGAGATAGCTTCAAGTTAGTTTCTCAAGAATATCTCTCATTCTGTCACCCGCGTAACACCTTGAAAAGCCAGCGAACCATCATCAATTATGAAGAGAGACCGCTATTAACTATACTCAAAGACATAAAGACGGAGTGCTCGTATCTGAAAGCACGGGGAAGAAGTGAAGCCATTCTGGCGATGTGAATCCATGCGCAGGAAACGATTTTATTTGAACTTGTCCTCTTCATTTTTCCATATTTCTTCTTCGAATCTCATTTTAAATGCCTAAAACGAACAGATAAATACAGTTGGGATTGTGAATTTTTACAAAAAACCTATATTGGCTCGGTAACAACGAGGAATCTTACAGGACTCTCAGATTAAGTTTGTTTTTCTGCTGCTCTGACCAATTATAATTGGAGAGGTGGCTTCATTTTCTTCTTCTAGCGCACCGTCTTCATGTCTTTGTCTATACTCTCTCTCTATACTCACGCGTTAAATAAAAACGCATCAAACGAATTATAGCGGAGAAAGGACCGCTCAATGATTCATCTCTCTCGAACGGTCGCACCGCGGCGGAAACTGGTGTATTTTTCCACTGCGATCGTGAAAAACATATACGTCAGTAGACAAGATTAATTTTACTTTCGGTCTTTCTCTTGCAGAGAGGAACATAAAAACGGCGGGGAATCCACCGTCACAGAGATTCTTGCACAAATAAAACATTATCAGAGTTGCTAAATCAGTGAAATCCCCCGACGTTCATAGTCATCGGAGAGATCTTCAGTTGATTTTACTGAGTATTTGACGACATTGAACGTTACCGATCCTGTTGCGGTTTCCAAATGTTGACTAAATCTCACAGCTTTTCCAAGTTTCCTGACCTGGAAAAAATTGACGAGTTTATGGTGAAATTGAGCAAACTCGTGGGTATCTTCGTCGCAGCCAGTGGAAAGTTTCTAATCGGGTTCGATCCCCGACAGAAATCCCGGGGCAGACTCCGGCGTTTTGCATAAGTTGAACTGAGAGGTGCACTGGAAAAAAAACACATCGGATCTAGAGTCTAGACTCTTGAAAACATTGACAAGAAAATGGACTCTTGATTCAATCAGATTTAAGCTTAAATCAAAAGAAAATCCGCTCAAATTAAGAGGCTTGGTTCTTGATTTAAGCTTAAATCTGATTGAATCAATAGTATTTTTTCTTGTCGATGTTTTTAAGAGTCTGGACTCTAGATCCAATGTGTTTTTTCCAGTGTGGACGACGTGGTTTCCCTAGAATTCTACCCGGACTATATTTTCAAGTTGGGAAATAAAAATTTTAACTCATCTGTGAAAGCATTTTTTTTTTATAGGAACAATAATGCTGACATCGTTGTTTCTATACTGAACCAGGAATAGTAGTCCCTCTTTGTAAAATTTAGTCCACCTAGCCTCCTGTAAAAATTTTAAGATTTGCCGCATAACTGGTTGACATTTATGTTATCCTTGAAATTTTATTTCCATTTTCTGACGAATAAAAGCTCAAAATTGTGCTTCAAGCGTCTCGATTTTCAAAATTTTCCAGGGGGCGTCTCGCAAAATTGTACTTTTACACGCTCTCAGATTTCCGCATGTTGATGTACTTCTCGATGCCTCCAAAGGAAATGTCCGGTTCCGTCGTTAATGTAGAACGTTTGATATGTGCAAAGTTAATTAGGAGCAAACGCAAGGAAAAAAAAATTAAATCACCATAAAATGTAGCTTGCCCGGATGTGGAAAATGAAGAGGAATCAGAAAATACCGCATATCGAAGAAGAATTGCGGCACGATTACTCCCGAACTTACGTGAATGATGCTCGACCCGGACGCGTTGACGCCTACCTTGGCCGTTAAAAGTCGCTAATGTCAGCCGATACTCATGCATAAACAGTGTGATAAACAGTGACATCTTGATTTTTTTATTCAATTTAATAAACGCGGAATTGATGTTACCACAGTCCCTGCTTTTTAAACGCAAGGGGCGGGGGCGGGAGGGGGGGCAACATCAATACGCATCTTTTTTCGCCTATAGATAAATGTACTGAGAGCCAGAGCAGCGGGCTGATTGTTTAAGTTGATAGACAAAGCTATAGACAAGAGGACAAAAGGTATATGAAAGAAACCTATTAGAGGAAGCGGGTGGTTGCAATGGACAAAGGAGGTAAGTAATAGGCTACTAACGGCAACCCATGAGAGACCTTATAGTTAGTTCATCATTTACGTCATTTTTTTTTCATCATTTTTCCCCCTTATATTATAAGAACAACCCAAGTTAACCAATAGGACCGCTCCACACTCATTATGTCCTCTTTGTCTATCACTTTGTCTATCAATTTCAACAGTCATCCCACAGTACACAACACATTGTTTACGGAGCGACAAAAAGATAAACCTTACCAGACTAATGACACTGTGAAGTTTGCATTTCAGGAAACGTACTCTCGAAAAAAGCTACTCTATCTAATTTGCCGTGTTCAGGGCCCAAAAAGCCGGATTCTATGCAACTATACGCCCTCTAACAACCCAGTGATGAACTAAATGAATCGCAACTTGTTCCTTACACCAGAGAGACTTTTCCGTGAAAATGTCAAAAATCCGATATGACCAAACTCGACAAAAATCGCACCATTAAAATTTTACCTCCAATAATTACGGTCCCCCTACAAATATTCTTTCGAATGTTTCGTAACTTTGCAGATTCTGGCGTAAGTATTCAAAAAAATGACTGGGAGATGCGGGTTTATTTGATCCAACCAAGAACACACAAAAACCGGGGTGGGGGGGGGTGAGTGTTATAAACAAAGACAAGCTGTTGTCACCCGTCGTCGCCAGTTAAAAACGCCTTCAATTTCGGGTGATACTTTATCGCCCACACCGGAGTTAAAATATTTGTATCAAAAATCATGGTGCATCTTGATACTAAATCGTAGGATGTGGATCTAGCGTTTCATGAGAGTCGCATATCACACATGCAAACTAGGTCTCTTGGTCTTTTCTGGTAAAACATGATCAGGTAATCACTGTCATAATAAAGTTTACATCACTAATATCGATTGATATCTAATGACGTTCACAGTACAACATTTACGACTTAATTTAATTGATTTCTTAGCGATGTCAACTGATATCAATCCTCTTTTGGGATGTTCAATTCCTCATTTTTACGTGGAGTTAGAGGGTTTGAATTTGAATATTCATCACAGGAGAGAACCCTAAAATTGTTGATTTAATTTGTTGCAGGATGATGCCATTGTATATGATGATACTGGCTTTCTTCATATTTGTATTCCCTTACATGGACGACGGCCCACTTTGGAAAACGATCGTTTGGAGAGAAGTCGAAAGATGTCAGGACAACTGGTGGACCAACCTTCTCGTCATCAACAACTATGTCAATACTGAGAAAATGGTACCGTTTCTATAGCACAGACTTAATTCAACATCTGTCGATGCACGTCACCTTCCTGACATTAGGGCGTACACTTTCACACTGCGATGAGCCCTGTCACTCATACAAGTCTACGTTTTCCAGGGCTCATTTCAATGTGCTGTTACGCCTTTTTGTCAGAAAAGCGACCGACAGACGCAGTGTCTTTAGAATGGAGACATGTTTAAAATAGAATGTTGAGGACAGGACGATACCTACGTAGCAGTGTTTGCGGTTTATCGCAATGCGATAGGCGGATAATTCAAAGCTCTTCTATTGGTGGCAATTTATTACAGTGTTATTGGAGCAAAAACTTGCTATGTACTAACTTTAGTACTGCGATAAAATCGCTACTTTATCAATGCCGATTTTTCGCAACTTTGAGGGTGAAAAATTGCGATAAAATGGAGAGAGAAATACGTAAAATTTCGAAAATGTTGATGATTCTAGCGATTTTATCAATTAAATGTCAATAAAATTTCCAAATAATCTATTACATTGGCAATTCCTTATAAATTTAATACAAATTCGCGATTTTATAGAAATTAAATGCCAATAAAATCGCAACTTCATCTCAATTCGGTGCTAATTGAAAAATGGTACTCGGGCGATGCGCCGGTGAAGATAAAATACAATTACCTCTAATCGATAATCTTAATTATCTCAACGCAACTTCACTAAATTGTGCCCCTCGGAGAAGTACGTATCCCTCATTTAACAGGTATCGGAACAAATATTTTCAAAATATTCTGCACAGAAAAGAGATCCCAAACAGGTTTATGCCCAGATGGAGCCGATTTAACGGGAAAGCAGATTACAGATCAAAATTCTGCCCGTGCATATTTAGCTGCGGTATGCAAAAACGTCGTATGAACATTCAACTGCTGCCAGATTTTCTCTCATAAAACACACGTTTTCTGGAAAACGTATGGCTAATTTGCTTTGAATTTTTCAGAGGTTATTTTCCGCAATTTAAGGGAAAATACTTATTGCACTTTTTGAAAATAATTTTTTTATTATATGAAAAATGGCCGGGTTTAAGCCTCCATACGGCGTTATTCCTTAACACGGCGGCATTATCCAGACCCGTTTTAAAGACGAGCTCCTCCATATATCTCGCCCACTGAGCGTAGCTGCGACTTTATTCTGAACAAGTCATGCCAAATTCACTGGTATATTTTATCAAATGAAACCGGGTTTAGACTCATAAGCCTGATTACGTCGTAATAAACTGATTATCGAAGCGCTATATGCAGAAAAGGCACCTTTCGGTTGCTAAGTCTTGGAATATCAGCCAGTGTTTCTTCCATCATGATCAAAGCAAATGCACGTAATTTGTCGAAGCTTTTATACTGAATATTTTTCATAATTTCATAATGCTCTGAAACAAAAAATTTCAAAAAATTCAACCATTAGTTTCCTCTGTATAATGTAATTTAGCAGTGGAGATTCTGAAACGCAGCAACCGAAAAGTGTCCTTCTTGCACCCAAGAACGCCTCAATCAATTTTTCACAAACAAGAATAATTTGAAGCAGCTTTTGGTTCATAGTAGGATTTTCTTCTTCCCAATAACATTATTAAAATTTTACATGAAGAAATCTACGAAAGGCCCTGCGTATACATCATCACGTAAATTCTTCGTCAGGATCCCGAGAGGTAAAGCTGAACATTGTCTGAGCATATGGGCTCAACATCAGTGGCGTGGCGTAAATTGCGATATATAGCTTCTTATGCCATTGAAACCTATGGTAAAGAATCGATTATTCAGGTGTTCGCTGCGAACACCCTATTTATCGATCCTTTTCCATAGCTTTAAATGGTATGACAATCGATGTATCGCAATTCACGCCACGCCACTGCTCAACATCACGTTAGCCGTCAACAATTAATCTCGGATCATCTTGGTTACGATTTTGATACGAAATCAGATATTTGCATGCCTTCTATGAAATGTGGAATTAAATACGATTATTTTTGACATGTTTTGTTTTTATGTTTTCAGTGCACCGTGCATGGGTGGTATCTAGCCTGTGATTTGCAGTTCTTTGCCGTAGGAGCTCTTATCGTGTACACGTTCACGAGAAGCCAATCGAGGGGTTTGAAAATGCTGCTTACAGCTCTTCTCTTCTCCTGGGTCATCCCCTTCGCCAACACATACTTAAACGACTACGATGGCATTTTAAGATCATACATTAGGTAATTTCATACAAATAATTAAACAGAATGAATTTGTATTCTATCATGCACTGGGTTTTTTTTTTTTTAAAATGTATGTATTAGTCGCTTTTACAGCGCACTAGGGTGCTCCGCGACGCCTGACCGCCGCAGAAATATTTCATGCACTGGAAAAAAAAAACACATCGGATCTAGAGTCCAGACTCTTAAAAACATCGACAAGGAAAAGTACTCTTAATTCAATTGGATTTTCGCTTAAATCAAGAACCAAGCCTCTTAATTTGAGCGGATTTCCTTTTGATTTAAGCAAACATCTGATTGAATCAGGAGTATTTTTTCTTGTCAATGTTTTCAAGAGTCTGGACTCTAGATCCAATGTGTTTTTTTCCCAATGTGGTGAAGATCTTTCAGAAGTTGGCATCTCTCCATCTCTTTTTGGATGTCTTTGGGTCGATTGTTGAATCGTTATGGAATGGCCGATATCGATAAATAGCATTGCTAAGATAGGGATTTATCGATCAAGTTCCTTCGATAAGATTCAACAATCGACCCACTGGAGGAACCTACTCAATAAACCTCTCTCGACAACCTGGTGCCGAAAAAGGTTCGGGCCTGGTTCGGGTACCAGGTTGCCGAAAGAGGTTTTTTTTTTCGAAAAATGAAATAATGACGGACATTTTTAAAGCGTTGTAATAGAAATACGTATTCCGCTATACTATACGACTACATGCACCTACCTACTTTTGTTTTACTATTTTATCCTCAGGAAAATGTCCCAGACATTTTCTGTAACACGATTCATTTTTTCAATATCGCCTTAAGAATACCTAAAGTTTTTTTTTTCTCTGCTGTAGAGTCAAATACAGGTTTTGACTTTATTGTCTGGCAGCCGGAGAGGCAGATCTTGTTGTATACTTCCCAGCAAGTGACCCACAGCAAATGTTATGCGACTTGATAATTCGCGGACGTTCATTTCCATCGATTATGATGAATCGCATTATAGTTGGTTCACCTTCACGATGTAGCCAGTTTGTGTGCTTAAAAACGCCTCTTTCACGCGGTTTAAATCGGAGAATTACCGGGTTTGCTCGGGACCATCTGGAAACCGAGTCCCCAGACTCTGACCGCGGTGTCTGATGGCATCCACCGCGGGTAGCTGCGGTGGTTCACCTCTCGCAAAACTGATTTAAGTTCCGCTCCGAAATCCGATGAATCAGGAGGAATAAGTTGCCAAATTTATGGAATCAAATGTTTTCACGGTCACTCGATGTTGAGGTTGCAGACACTGAAAAATTCCACACAGAGAGCATTCCTAGTATGCTGCTACATAGGGGTTATCTCTAAAATAATATTCTGAGGGGTTAGGATTTTATTTGCCCTGCGGGCCGATTAATGAAATTTATAGATAAAGCGATAGACAAATAAGACAAAAAGGATATAAGGGTATCCTATTAGTGGAAGCGAATGGTTGCAATGGACAAAGGAAGTAGGTGATAGACGCTATTAGTGCAACGTCACAGAAAAGCGATATATATCGATTTTTTCGCACTGGTAGCATTGAAAGAGGTTATGCCAATGTTATTGTTTGGATCCAATTCGATATAATGGAGAATCCCTATGATGACGTCGCCACTAATAGCGTCTATAGGCTAATTAACGGCAACCCACGAGGGACCCGATAGTTAGTCCATCATATACCTCCTTAGTCCATAAGACCCACCCATTCAACTAATAAGATCGCTTCATACTCCGCATGTCTTCTTTGTCTATCGCTATGTCTATCAATTTCAACAATCAGCCTGCAAGTTGCTTTTAAAACAAAAGCACATTTTAGGGGCTTCGAGGACAAGGCGCATAAGTGCAAGTTTTGCAATTCCAAGAAATACATGTTTGAAGTTTCAAAATTACATGGAGTTTTATGGCAGGAAGGAAGTTTAAACTCACTTTTATATGCTTTGAAAATGGATTTTAGTTGTGAATATTCCATAATATACTTTCAAACTAGTTTTAGTTGAGCTCATGAATACTTCAATTTTTTTCAAAAACTGCACTTCCCGGCCCTCCTCTGACGTAAGGGCGTATCTGGATTTCCACACGAGCCTCAGATAGCATTGATTTACATATAAAACAGGGCTCACGTGGAAATTGAGATACGCGCTTCCGTCCGAGGGGCGACGTTATGCGTCTTGTTGTCCAAGCCCCTCATTTCGATAAAAGTTTTATTGAAATGGGCTATTCAACTCTTTTCTCCTGATGTTTGGATAATGGAAATGTTGCATGTGTGAGGAATTTGCGCTTTGACTACTGGTTTTTATATGTAAAAGTTCGCGAGAAACACGATGGTGCCACTGGTTTTCTCTGAAATCAACTCCCAAGCTCAAAAAAGCTCTCAAGTTGAGGCCAAAATGGAGGGGACCCCCACGCTATCCTGAGAGTCCACCTCTAAATCAAGACAAACTCTCTATGCAAAGATAGGGAGCAAATACATTGACAGGGCTGCCACTTTATTTGGGGACTCCAAAACTGAAAACACGGCAACCCTGCTAATGTATTTGCTCCCTATCTTTGCATGGAGAGTTTGTCTTGATGTAGAGGTGGACTCTCAGGATAGCGTGGGATATACCCTCAATTTTGGCCTCAACTTGAGAGCTTTTTTTGAGCTTGGAAGTTGATTTCAGAGAAAACCAGTGGCATCATCGTGTTTCTCGCGAACTTTTACGTAAGAATTAACAGTCAAATCGCAAATTCCTCACATATGCAACATCTCCATTGGCCCTGCTAGATAACCCAAGAAAATATTAATATCAAGTTATTTGACGGAAAAATTGCTCACGTTCTTTTTCTCATGGATTTCAGGGTACTCTCTGACCCAATCTCCGCTCCCCATTATCGGGACTTCTACGTGAAGGGCCACAACAGGGCCGCACCATACTTGCTTGGTATCCTCTCCGCGTATCTTGTCACTGTGCTCCGGGAAAAGAAAGTCAAGATTTCCATGGTATGTATGAGTACTATCACCAGTACGGCTCCTGACAAAATAAAAGTTCTGAAGCAAAAAAGACGTATTGGTTTATTTCTCCGAAAGACGCTATGTTAAGAGAAATATATTAATATTTTTCTTCGACTTTTTCTGGAAATTTTATTTGTAATCATATTTAAATTACCTAAAAGTTTCAAGAAAAAATATTCATAACACTCCTCAAAACTGAGCATTTTCATGGAAGTAATTTAGCAACTCTCGATTGTTCATACGGCGTTCTTCCTTAGCACGGCAGAATAGGCCCGTTTTGCTGTACGGTTTACAAGAAGCAGGTCCTATGGTCGTCGCCGCCGTCGCTTCTGATGCTTGAGAGCTCCTTCAATTTTGTGTATATGCAACTCGAGCAGCCTTGAAAGTGTAGGTAGGAGGCTGCCCTATGCATTCAGGTGCTACATTGTCTCCGCGCAACACACTGCTGATATTTACTGCCGAAAATGTATCCAGCTCTGTAAAATATCAATAATAGTCAGAATTAAATTTCGGCGATGAAATAAACCCAACTATTCCTCTGGAGTACAAATTAAAATGTGACCAGTGTAGTATAATGAGAGGATGAGGGACCCGGTCCGCGGAGGCCAAATTATTTTAATAGGGATTTCTCCGGCGTTTTTTCCGCTGAAATATCCATAAAATAACACTTTCCAATAAAACACGTTAGTTATGTGTTTTTTCAAAGGTCCATCTTCCCGTGGTCGACCCAAAACGTTTATTCATTTCCCTTCCTGAAGTTTTTTTAGGCTGCTAAAACAAACAAACAGTAAATAGATTCGTATAATGATATTCATGATTTCTCTTGCAGGGTATGCGTTGGTTCGTAGTACTTATGGTAGCTGTGGTAGCCGAGGGCTCCCAAATGTACGCGTGGAAATTTTTCGATATTCACACCGAGTCATCTCTAATTGAAAGGAGCTTCTATGCAGCATTCCACCGGTCGTTATGGTCACTTCTCGCATGCAGCATCATAATTGTGCACCTCTGCTGGGGCTTCGGTAAGTTCTGCAAAATTATGCGTAGTAAGATCAGAACCTAGAAAGGATACACGCTCATCAAACAGAAGGATCTTCATTTTAATCAATAGGAGGCCCGATGAATATTTTCCACTCTCAAATTTTCTTTGGACTGAAAGAAGTTTTTTGTCCCTCAGAGAGATTTGGTCGTCTTAAAGAAAATTTTAGCTTTTTTATAGCGACTCTCGGAGGAATTTTCATTTTACATACATACATATAGGTCGCTTTATAGCACTCCCTCGCACTCTACGGCACCTAATTTCCACTGCTCTATGTTGCACCACAACCCTTGGGGCATTCGGTATTGGGAAATTTCCATTTTCAACCGTAATTTAGTCACCAGTTAATCGGAAGAGCATTCCTGAGCCTTAAAGTTCCGGGCAGTCTAGCTTATTGCGTTTTTCCTCTGATGTAAGGACGAAACTACATTTTGAGATGACCTCCGACATCCATATTGATATAACTCAATGTTTTAAGGGGCTTACGTAGAATTAGAGTTACGCCTTCGCCTGCACGTCAGAGGAAATATTATTTTTGTGCCAATGGAGGGCTAAGAGTTAGGGAAAATGTGATAATTTATAGCTCCAAATGTAACAGATCAATATTGGGCGTATTTAAATAAAAACAAAATAAAATAAAATAAAATAAAGTAAAATAAAGTAAAATAAAGTGAAATAAAATGAAATAGAGTAAAATAAAGCAAAATAAAATAAAATAAAATAAAATGAAGTAAAGTAAAGCAGAACAAAATAAAATAAAATAAAATAAAGTGAAGCAAAATAAAATAAAGTTAAGTAAAAATAAAGTAAAAAAATAAAATGAAATATAATAAAATGAAAGAAAGAAAACTACCCTGGATCCACTAGAAACCCTGTAGTTAGTCCATCATTTTCTACCTATCTGTAAGAATCACTCGTTCTAACCAACAGGATTGCTCCATTTTCCTTTTGTCTTCTATATTTATTGCTTAGTCCATCAATGTCAATAATCAGCCCGCAGGTATTGGCGCGGATACTTAGAATCCCATCAATGACATGAATTATACCTTAATTTGTTCGGTTGCGATCAAAGACATGTTGCGATTGGCGCATATTGATTCTCTGAGAAGGTGACTGAAATGCCTTCAATTTTTTGTTTATGCAACCCGGACACCCACTAGACACGAAAAGTTGCATCAAGATGCTATTATAATCATTAATTCACGCATACCGACCAATATACTCGCCAGAAGCACTATCCATGTCTCGGGACTTTTTCTTCGTCCTCTACTTGCCAATCGCATTGTATATCAATTTCACTAATAAGCCCGGAGATTCGTTCAGAATTTTTACAATGCAACAATGATCATATAATACTGTGCTTAGCAGGGGTATCATCACATTTTTTGTATTTTTTTTTTTGTTTAACTTAAATTCGGTGTTTTCTTTACTTTTGAGCAGGAAGCTCACTGGAGTACATACTGTGTCACGATTTCTACGTTCCGATGAGCCGTCTCACCTTCGGCGCCTTCCTAGTTCATCCCTTCTTGCAAATGTACACCTCAGCAGACGTCCGCGCTCCCATTTACTTCTCACACTGGAGGATGGTAAGTTCGCCTGAAAGATACCTAATGTAGATTCCCTTCAACATCCTGGTTATGCAATCAAGAATACAATAATTTCGCGGCGATGACATGCTTCATTCCTTCATTCATGTCGAAGGAACTTAATTAAGCTCTTAATAAAATTAAAGAAAAAACAAGTAATAATGAAGCACAAGAGAATACCCAAATGACATTGAAACAAAATAAAATGGAGTAGCATAACCTGCCGATAAACTCTACTAAAAAAATGAATAACTACAACGTCAAATATTACGGAATGTGGTCCTGGGCCCCATTTCCTGTATGATACGGGGCGCGGCCAGAAATTTTTCATTGAGGGGGGGGGGGAGTCTTCGTTCAAAAAACTCTCTTGGAAAAGTGGCCCAAAGATGAAGATGTTCTCGAAAATCACGATTAATGAGGTTTTTAAGGAGATTTTATTCAGTAATGGTGCGGAGCTGATCCAGGTCCCCTCAGACGCCACCCCCTTTCCCTGATTTTGGCACTGCCCCCTCTAAGGCGCAAAATTTTGACGCATCTGGAAGATACACTGAAAAAAAAAAACAATCGGTCGTGTGAACCGAACGTTCGTTGTTCCATATCATCCTAAATATTCGATTTGTCAAACTGAAATTTTAGTTCTGAACGTTCGTGTAACCGAACTTTCGGCATATATGACCAAACCTAGTTCGTCAGTTCTTTTTACCGCACAAGCTCGGTTTGACAAACCGAAAATTCAGTTTGACGAACCGAATTAGTCGAGATGATATGCAACACCGAACTTCGCGGTACACACGACCAAACTTTTTTCTCAGTGTACCAACAACATCCTCGGAATATTTTCAATTGAGATCTCGTTTTATCACAGGTTTGGATGGGCACAGGTGACGTCTTCAGCTCGTACGCAATCGCGTTCTGGCTCTACTGCATCATCGAGGCGCCGGCCGGGATCCTGAGCAGCATGCTCAAACGCATCATCATGAGACAGGGGCCCCGACGAAGCAAAGAGTCAGCCCCACCAGCGTCGGTCGAAAAAGCACCCGAGGTCCCCACGACCGGCACCTACGTCCTCACCGACAGGGAGGCAAAAACCACCAACGCGGAGATCGCCAACATCCTCCCCAGGGATACCGTTTGCATTCCCTCCGCGTCGTCCGTAGAGGAACCGCAAGAGAGCGCCACCGTCGCCAGTTTCTCAAACTACACGATCAAACCGTCGGATAGTGCCCAGAGCGCGGATCGACCCCAAGAGCTGTCGAATAAGCTCGAGTCCATGCTCACGCCCAGCTAAGCTCGGGTCGCTTAGGTTAGGATGAAATTCAGGCTGTGATATTTTTTTAAGAAATCGACCGGAGACATTTTATATTTAATTTATATTATTAAGGATTGTTAGTCAGGCGGATTTTATCAGAATCGCCAGAAAAAAAGAAGAAAAAAAAAACAAAACAGGATTTAAGGTACTGTGAACGCTATCACGCTGATTCTGCTTTAATCCGTCCTTTTATCCTTCATATAAGTAAAATAAATTGAAAATTTGCCACGTTACGTAGGTACTAAATTTGTGATTCCGTAATTTTTCACAATTAAAACGTAAATTAAATCACAAATTAGGGGACTTACGGCGGAAAAATTAATTTTGACCTCGATGTATTCTGTGCTATTGAGAGAATTTAAATTTTTTGGATATGAGGTCCACCCGAAGTTTCCTTTCTTTTTATTGGAGAAAAATAAATTGTACATAACGATGTACAGATATTATTTTTTTACCATTGCCCATCCACGACATCTGGTTGGACCTCATATCCAAATAATTTAGAATATGATGTGGATGAGCAAAAATTTTGCTGAATTAAAGAATTTTTTACCTATCAGTCGTTACAAATTTGGAAAAACTCAAATGTGCACCTTAAAATTTTAAGCTATCTCATCCGGAAACGACATAAAATCAAACTCAGTAGTCAGTTGAATAAAATTCGGTCAAAGTTAACCATTTTACTATAAGTCCCCTTGGATCTAACATAAAAATATTATCGATTCGAATGCCAAGTTTGATGTCTTCTGACGTTCTGTAGACTGATGCTCACTGAAATCAGTTTCCTAGAGAAATTTTTGTAAATTTTTATGAGAGAGTCCACGGACAAAAAAGAAGTAAATGCTGTTGGATGACATGGACATTTCCAATTAGTTGTGTTAGTACCCCAATAAATCAGGTTACTAACCCAAATGTTGCGGCACTACCACAATCAATTGGAAATGCCAATATCATCCAACGAACGGATCTTTTGTGCGGAAGAGATCCAGTCAAATAAATATACCCTTCAAAGGTTAAAATGTACGAAAATATCGTTGGGCACGTCAAATAAGTCTGAAATCCATTCCTTAGTGCGCAATCTGTATCGTTCGTGACACGTTTTTTCAAGTTTCCCGCGTCTACGGGCAGTTTTTCTCGGTCACCCCGGACCAGGTTTGCACAGATAGAGGAGTAAAAAAAAAAATGACCCGAGTAAACAAAAGATTTCACTAACTTTTTTCATTGTTTAATTTCAATCGCTTTCAAGTGTTTGTTTCTTTTTCTTGCTTTATTTTGCAAAAACCAAAACTTCGAATCAATTTAAATCTTACGCAAGGCGAGTATAACAGTTCGTGAGATTGTTTAGTTATTTAGGTTTGGTCTCTCTCTGTGCAAACCTGACTATACCGGCCACCGAGAAAAACTTTCCGCACACGCGGTAAATTTGAAATAGCGCGTTAGAGACTTTACCGCGCAGATTGCGCGCTAAGGAGTGGATCTCAGACTTATTTGATGTGCCCAACGTAATTTTCAAGCGAATTTCCCCTTAGTATGTGTATTCAGTTGGCTGTATCTCTCGCGTGCAACAGATCCACTGGGGTAGTCCCAATTTTTTTTTTCTGTGTCGGCATGAATTTCCTCGTAAGACTGCATAATTTTTTTTGAAGTTCAAACCTAGGCATACCCCATTGAACAAAACTGAGTATGAAGTATGCACTACTTAACTTTTAGACTATATTCTCGACAAGAATTTCATACTATCCAACTCACCTACAAAACCGTGGAAGTTCGAGAATTTTATTATCTGGGACAGTAACTATTACACCCGCTCTAGCTTACGTTCTGTGACGTTATTGGAACTGAAAATCTTCACTCATTAACTCTGATTTTAAGACTTGAAACATTAATTTAGCGTACTCAATAAAACTGAAACTTTGTCATTGTGCCAAGCTATACTTTTTAGGATCATTGGGTATTTTTTGAGAGGTCAAAAAATAACTGCAGTGATACATCTAATTATTTAGTCCTGCCTTTTTTTACCCTCTAATTGTATGTAAACTCTCGCATTGTTTGAATGGTTTTTAAATTCTAACCATCCTTTACAATTAGATATCGTAAACGAGTTGATTTACCTGTGAACTAAATACTTGAGTCGTATCGGGAGGTGTAACCCTTTAAGGTTTTTAATGATTAGCGGGATTCGATAAACCGAGAGATAATCATAACCATTTTTTACCTTTGGGATTTTTTTTTAACATACACTTAAGTGGAGGTAACACAGTAGGTGCCGACCCCCGAGAATCGTCACTGATCAAGAATGTAAGGATTCTCTGTTAAATCGTAAAAATTGTAATCTATTTATTAAAAATTAATTACCCTCCCTCCACTTTTTAAAGATTTTCATTGATATGAACATTAATTATTTGTTCAGCATCATTAAAAAATTGTATGAACAATAGAGACATTTAATAGTTAAGTTATTTGCTAATGTTCGTTCACTCCTAATTTGTACATAATTTGTAGGTACATGAATAAAATCATCTTCTGAAGAAAATTATTAACCCATGACATTAATTTATTACAGTGTCAGCGAATAATTCCCTTCCTTTATATCTCCTCAAAGTTCATAATTTTCAAATTGTGCTGTCTTGTGGGCTAAAACTTTAACTTGAATTTTCTTTCCCGTCATATTTTCTCGATTGATAGGCACGTATAGTTATTAGAGAGTTCATATTTTAGTCACTTCTTTTGTTAACTTTATCGGCCATACTTTATCAAATTAGAAAAATCGGTAAGAAAAAGTTTTACGAAATTTCATATTTTAGTCTTTTTTCCAAATCTTGTTCAACTATCGAGTATCTCTTAATCATGAGTGATAATACTTATTCTCGGTGATAACTGAACTTGAAGCTGATATGGCTTCGATGATCCAAGCCAGCCAATCAGGTGCAATACTATTATCTCGACTTCAGCGACGTCACCAATTCTATAAAGGCCTCGGCCGTCTGAAATTACGAAGTCCTTTTTTGACCCGTGTCAACACCGCACGTTGCGCCGTTTTTTTCCTTGCATGTGTCCAATGATCCAAGTATGATTTTTTAACTCTTTAAGTCTCTTAAGGCAAAAATACGACTTTCCAGTCTCCAATTTTATGCAGGTTACGCGTAAGTCTAAAATTACAGAAGTGAAGGACCCACAAAAGAGAATCCAAAAGTTTTTAAAAGTTAATAGAAAGCTTTGAAAATGTGTTCGAAAAGTGGTGTAATAACAAAAAAACTGCAATAATGTTACAGTTAGAGAGACATTAAAATATAAACAAAATTAGGCAGAGGTGTGGAAATGGACTCTATTGACGGGAAATCCAGGTAAAAATAAACATGAGGAAATGAGCATATTGAATAATTATGTGATCAAAATGGTGTCTCTTGGAGCCACAGCTTTTCAACTTACGATTTTTTTTCAAGAGTCAGATACATTTTCGGTGAATCGGAATACACATACAATAAGCTTCTCCAACTGTTCACTTGTTCCGCTGATTACAAGTAGTTATATTTTTTCCGTGAGTAGCACGGATTTTGTGCTAGTATAACATAATTGCAAGAGAATTATTCCATGCGAGAGGAGGAGGGGGGGACGAGGTAGTAAGGAAAGCCTGACACCAGGAAAGGAAAATCGCCTTCAATTGAAAATGATACTGTGCAACACACGGAAGTTTGAATTGTTGTATCATTCCATTTTCTTACGATATTTCGATGGTTTAAGTCCGAATTCCCAGAGGAAAAGAGGGGGAGGAGAGAGAATGAGAGGTTCAGAGAGGGAGGGAGGGAGATAGAGAGATTCAAGTAATTGCTGCGTGACATTGGAAGATTATGACATTATGTTGGGCATGATAAAAGTATGATTTTACTTTCCCTTATAGAATCTAAAGAAGAAAAGGAAAATGATGATGATGAAGGGACAAAAAATGATGATGTAAATGATGACCGTTTTGCAATAATCGTGGATAGTGTTGTTTTGCCGGGCATAGAAAATGTGCTATTTTTCGCAAAGAGAAGGATGTGGCAACCCTTTTGACAAGCTGATAATGAACAACGACGCTGAATTTAGGCGTGAGGCGTACCCCTCGTCTCATAGCCGTTATGTTTTAGGTGTAAATAACTCCCGCAAACGCCAATTAGAGGGATACCAGATCCTGTGCCCCATCGCCGCGCCCTTCAACCCCCCTTTCGACGCCGACGGGCTCTTGTCCTTTGTTGTGAAAGACGCGCAAAATTTAATTGTTCATTGAAACCTGGCCCTCCTTTGTTGCCAGATTAACGAGCTGGTTACATTTTTACAATGCTTCTGAACAAATCGACGGTGAAAGTCGGCAATCACATAACTCGTTTGCGGTGTCTGAAAATCTCCGCCTCTACGTCATTTTTTAAAGGAGAGCAAATTGACATTATTTCTTGAAGTTTTTGCAGAATTTTCTTCGCATTGAGAAGAAAAATTATGACAGTTTTAAAGAATTGCCGTTGAGTAGTTTTCCATTTAAAAAATAAAGTATAACAGGAAGTCTGCGACGTCGCAAACCGAGTTATGTGATTGTCGACTTGCACCGTCGAAATGTAGATTTTACCATTAGTACACTGAAAAAAAATTGCTATTATCAACACAGAATTAGTTAAAAAGGTGACAAATCCTCAAAATAGTTAAATCAACCCGGTTTTCTTCATTTATATGGCGTGTTGATTTAACTATTTTGATGATTTGTCACCTTTTTTAACTAATTCTGTGTTGATATTAGCAATTTTTTTTTCAGTGTAGGTTCATTCATACGGCGAAAGTGGTCGTGAAACGCCCGCACAATATTCAGTGGATGAACCGAATGCAAACGGAGAGATTTTTCTTCGGAGATCAGAGCTTTCGATTTTGAAAGCAGTGGCGAGTATCGATATTTCCCCATTTCAACCTATAGTAAAGGATCGATTAGTAAGGTTTTCGTCGCGAACACTGATTATCGATCCTTTTCCATAGGCTTAAATGGCAGGTTAATCGATATATTGTAAAAAGCACGCCACGCCATTGATCGGTGGTAATGCTAGGAGCCACCCGGAAAAACGAGTAAAAGAGTCTGAGACACAGTGGTTCGTGTTCTCCTCCTACTGAACTTTGTGGAAATAAGCCTCATGGAACATTTTTAGCAGAGATCGCACTCTTCGGTATACTGTGGATCGTTTTTATTCAGACGGCTCGTGGTTTTGATACATTTTTTCGTTCTTTTTCTGTGCAGTCGTTGTTGTTCGCTTCCGAATCTCCAACAATTCTCTTTTTTCTAGCTTCTTTGGTTAAATTCGAAAGACTGAGCCATAATTTCCACACGCAGTCACTATTACTGTACGGATAATCAGGCATCTGGACCTGGTAGTTAGATTTCCAGGTGAACATAATAATGTAAAGTCACTTCATCGAAATTAAAGGAATGGGTTGTAACAAGAGAAATTTTAAGAAATCGGTGCATCCTGTATTACTCGACGAATTGTTCGAATACCTTTTTTTCGCGATTTTAACTGTACAAATTTTGTTAGGGAAAAATTCATACATTCTCTCTAAAAACTTATTTCATTCAAGATAAATTGCAACATTCAAATCTCCATGCAACGCTTTTCCCTATCATTATTTTTTTTATTTTTATTCATTTTTTTTTTTTTTTTTTGCGATCTGCAGTTTTCCTAAAAATTCTAAGTTTCCCTTTCGCCCATAGTTTTGCAGATTAAATTTGCAGAGTCTGAGTATATTAAAAAATGAAAATGCTGTAAATTAAAGAACAAAATTTGTGCATTTTGAAGATTATTTTGTTGGCCCTGAGTAATTGTAAAAAATTGGCTGTACGCGTGCATGCCATTGAAACAGTAACTCCTGGAATGTTGTCTTTGTGCAGTGTTATCACTTCTTCCAACCTTGACCGGTGCGAGTTCGCCAACAGGATCCACGATTTCCAGCCGTAGATTAAAAGTACAGTTCATTGAGCCCTGATGATGGGAGCGATCGGCTCTCGAAACGTTGGCCATGTGCAATTGTGTTTAAATTGTTAAACTGTTTAAGATGTGATTTAAAATAAAAGAAAAGGTTGTGTAATCTCATTTCGTTCTCTCATTTTTAATATACTCAATAACCGTGAACAATGTATGACTACCATATACATGTATATACAGGGTGTTTCAGACCACCCGTACCAGGCCTTTTTCTCGGTTGTTATAGGTCGTACGAAGTCGGAGACCGCGGGGTTGGATAGGGAATTGACCCCCAGGAATCCAAATTTCGTGGTCCCAAAATCCCCCTACCCCCCCTTGGGGGGTAAAGGGGGATCACGATGCTAAAAGTCACGGTTCCCGACCGAATTGCGAATAGATCACATCAGAAGTGAGAAGCACGGAAAATTTCACGTGGAATTGACCCCTAAAAATCCAAAATCGGACCATCCAAGGCCCAAAAATGACCCCCTAAAGAGGGGTACAGTACCCCCCTCCATAATTCCTCTTTGGTCTCAAAATTGACGTAAATTCTCCAGAAAAAGACGGTTTCCCGGGTAATCGACCTCGAGAAATCCAAATTTCATGGTCCCGAAGCTCCTCTAGCTCCCCTTGGGGAGTAAACGGGGGGGGCCCAATTTTAAAAATCGGGGCTCCTTTCCGAATCGCAAATTGATTGCATCCAAATTGAGGAGCAGAACACATTTACATCTTAAGTGACTCCTAAGAGTTCTAATTGACCCCCCTGAACGGCAGAGACCCTCTGGGGGTACAGGGGCGGACTGGCCCTAAATTAAGTATGGGGCGGGCCCCTAGGGGGGTCTGGGGGGGCCCTCCCCCGGAAAATTTTGAAAATTAGGCCCTTTTAGAATGAATTTTACGCTATTTTAGACCCTATTCTTTAATATTATTTTTGAAACATTATCCAAAAAGAGACCAGAAATGCAAAACTTAGTATATTTTCTTAAACTGGATGAAAAAATGAGAATCCGTTGTATACTTGGAATTCAACTTTTATTTTCCTCTTCCAACGAAAAATTGTGCCAAAGCTAAATTAGTATACAGAAGATACATAGAATCAAGTAGAATAGTAATAGTGACAGTCTAAAAAGAACACATTCTGAAAAACACAGTTCGGATTTTTTTGTTCGTTTGTTTTTTTTAAATGTACTTTTTAGCCGCCAAAATTGACAACTGTCTTAATTTTTTTTGAACGTTTTATTGGATCCTTTCTTCGCTCTGCTCATAGAAAAATCAGTGCCGTTTACTAGTTAAATGACGCGTAATGAATGAATAAATCGATGGTTAAATTCTGAAAACACGTAACTCGGAATCCGCATCATGAACCCTGAGACTCGTAAGGATGCTCATGTTTTGCGTGTATCCTTATGAGTCTCAGGGTTCATGAGTTAATGATGCGGATTCCGAGATACGTGTTTTCAGAATTTAGCCATCGAAATAAAAATAAGAATGAAAATAAAAATACAAACAAAAAATTGACAAAAATCTGACACTTTGAAAATTATTGTGTTAATTAAACTGGAAAT